TAATTTTTTAATGTAAACTACAATATTACGTCTAAACTGCTGCACTACAGAAAAAATAACGTTTTTCGTGTGATATTTTGAAATCGACAGATAGAGCCACATAGATAGCTAAACAGAAATTGGTTGAAAGTACAATCACAAATACAAGTCTTTATTATAGCTTTGGTAAACCAAGACATACACACACACACGTACAATATATATATATATATATATATATATGTGTGTGTGTGTGTTAATTAATAATGGGGGGGGGGGATAAAATAGATTCATCAACAGTTTAATTTTAACGTTGACCTTAATTTTTCCAACGCTAGACTGCCTTACTAAATTTGATAAATTACTTGTTGACTTAGTTTTTAATTATGATCTATCTAAGTAGCTTAATTTTATCAGAAGCTATTGCCAACAGCGTTATTTCTATAGCAACAGCATCGCAAAATAAAAGAATCGAAGCTTAAAACTCAGCTCAGTGGTAAGTCTGAAGGCTTAGAACGCTAAAGACCAGCTTTCTATACATGTGGTAGGCACAGCTAAGATAGCTTATTACAATAAATAAACAAACAATCTTGTGCAAATAAAGCAACTTCCTTGGTACTATCTTCTTATTTGTTTTCATGTTTCAGTTGTCAGTAGTGCATCTGCAGGCTCATGTTTTAATCTCTATATCGTTCTTTAATCATTAGAGGTGGAGCTTACCATTTTTACTCACTAGAGTCATTTCTTGAGAGGCGAAGCTTACTTTTAGTTACTTGCTATTCTTTACTCACTAGTTACTTGAGAGGCGGAGCTTACCATTTATACACTTTATACACTAAGTAGCTACTTCAGAGGTGAATCTTGTCATTCTGTACTCGCTAGCTACTTCAGAGGTGAATCTTGTCATTCTGTACTCGCTAGTTACTTCAGAGGTAAATCTTGTCATTCTTTACTCGCTAGTTACTTCAGAGGCTGGCTTATCTAGTACTATGAGTATATAAATGGTCATTGAATTCCATCAAGAATTTTCGGTTTGTTTAGCCTAACCGTGAGGAAAATAATGGTTAGCTACTGAAAAAGAAGAACAAAGAACGTATGCATGGTAGTATAATATAAACGACGAACCGTAATTTAATGCTGTTAAATTGTAGAGTTTGTTTTGTACCATACGGGGCAACGAGCGCTATGTACATCTGGACACTGCAAGAGTTTTTTTTTTATTGATTTGACATGCAGTAATTGAAATTTATCGAAGATGCGACGATTAAAGGAAAAACTGCAAAAGGTAGGTTTATATGCAAACACCAACTTTTAAAGAACATTGTGGAACAGGAGCAGCGAATAATTAAAGTGCTGGTTTGTGTGTTGAAAGGTCCGAATTGGACGCGTTATAACACTTTGTTTTTATGCTTGTACATTATACTTTTATAGATCAAATCGACATTGGACTATTTGTTGCGTCCCCCGCGGGAAATCGAACACAAGGTTTTAGCGTTGAAAGTCCGTGAATGTACCGCTGACCCATTGGAAGACGTTATAACACTGATAGTCACTCCCGCCATCAGTTTAAAGGTACATAGGCGATGGACGCTTTTGACTTGTTGACCTGGTCATAGCTAAATTGAGGACGGCAATACCTCAACTTTAAAGTTTATGATTTGGTCGTGCTTTCAGAATTGAAATACCAACATCTAAAGATAATTTTCTTGCGTGATAAGTAATTTATCTCTCACCTTCTTCTCCATATATGTACCAAATATGTAAAGTAATTAATTTACGACCTTTAACCTACACTTTAAGAACGTCTTAGTGGAAACACTCGGGCCGCAAGTTCAGCGAATTTTAAAGGTTGTACTGCTGTTAAGTTTTAAAATACCATCTATAACGAAACGTGGTTTTCTCTTAAAGGTCAAATGTGAAGGAGCCAGGAATACATTATATCATTGGTTTCCAAATGAAGAATAATTAAGAACATAAAAAAATATTGCATGTGGCAGCAGGGGTGTCTCGCAAATCTAGGTAAGTTGGTTAGGCTGTTGTTAGTGAATAAAAGTTTGGAACCACTAAATTTTATAAACATTAAACAAACAACAACAAAAAAAAATACCACAAACAACTATTTGTCACAGAGTGTTTATATTTAACATTATAGAAATAGCTTTTTTATATATAATTATGCCCCAGCGCAGCTTTATCTAAAAGTTATTCAAGTATTTATTTAATCCATTAACTCAAGAAAAAATATCCATCAGTATTGTTCATGTTACTTTAAATAATTTGGTCGTGGGTTTACCAAATTAAGAAATGTTGAGTAACAGTAGTTCATTTCTGCTAATGAATCAACTGAACATCAGTTATGTAATTCCTGTTTTAAACATTAATTAGTACCATGTGCTGTATATCAGCGTACTGTTTTGTTTTCTCGTCAATCATAACTGGAGGCCTACTGGTCGTGTGTTCAAATCCCATCACCGAATATACTCGTGTTATAATATGACGGTCAATCCTACTATTTGATTATAGTAGCCCAAAAGATGGTGGTGTTGACTAGTTGCCTTTCCTCTAGCATATTACTTCAAAATTTGGGATGGCTTGCGCATTTAAACCTCAAGTAGCTTGGCGTGAAAGTCAATAAATGAACAAGTTGGCGGTGGGTGGTGATAACTAGCTGCCTTCCCTCTAGTCTTACACAGCTAAATTAGGGACGGATAGCGCAGATAGCCTTCGTGCAGCTTTGCGCGAAATTCAAAAACAAAATAACAGTCCTCAAACAGCTAGAAAAATATAACAAAAAATGAATTGCTCGAAATTGCCAAAGTTTTACAACTACAAGTTAAAATATCAATAAGAAAAAAATGGACCAGAAAAGTGCATTATCGAAATACTAGTTGATGATGATTTATTGCCTGAGGAAGCATTGGGGGAATACTCTAGTGTCCCTACTAGCCAATGGGGGTTGAGTGATAAAGATAAATTAAGAGATCCATCTAAAACTCGAGCTCGAACAAGCTCGTATCGAAGCCGAGAAAGAAATGAAAATTAGACTCAACACCGATTGACCAAGTCAAAATGACAACTTTTAACATAATCGATATGTGAAAGTATCACCATTTAATGAAAATGAAGTTGATAAATATTTCCAACATTTTAAGAAGGTTACCCAAACCATGGAATAGCCACTGAAAA